GGGATTGGCAATAGACAGAAACTGCTGAGGAGGGAGGTGGTTATAACATCAATAAGGGTACTTTATCTCAAACCAGGCAAAGGGGACCAAAGGGAGGCACAAACTTTACCTGTATGATGACCACTAATCTTGAATTGCACCCCACATCTTTCAAATTAAAAAAAAAGTTGGAAAAATGAGAAAAAAAATCATTTAAATTCGGACCAGAAGAGCCCAGCCGTAGTGATATGTATGCTCCTAATTTAGAAGCTCTTTAATAATCACTTTGAAGAAGCTATTTCTTAGGGAAGAATTTTCTTTCTGGAATTGGTTAAATTCAATTGAAATGATGAAGAGTTACATGCTAAGTTAGATTTGAAAAATGGTTCCTGTGTTACCAATTGTAAATAACTCAAGTTTAGAAAGATGAAAGAGAAGGATATTTCTACTCATAGTGTAGGATAATAGAAAAGTTTATAGAAAACTACAAATGAATCTTCATCAATTTTTTACATGTTAAAGATGTCCTGAATTTGCAATGCATTCTGCCGTCCTGGAGGACACTCCTCTTTTTCATGGCTTGAGGAGCATTCTCCCTCTCTCTTTCCCTCCCTTCCTCCTTCCCTCTCTCTCCCCCTTAACCCCCTCTCTCTGTCTCTTTCTCCCCCTCCGTCTCCCTTTCCCCATTTCTCTCCCCCTCTTTTTCCTCTTTCTCTAATCAGATAACAGAGACTTCACACTGGATAGTTTAGGGTACGAAAATTTCATGGTAAGTGGAATGTAATTAAATGACATGGTCTGATAATGAATCTGTAAGATGCTGTATTCCACACAGATTTGACTGGCTTTCATTCAGATTACCCAGTCTCATCCTAATATTTTTAGAACTTTCCTATTTTACAATCCTGCTTTGTTCCATTTCGTTCCCTTAGGGAAGATGCTCAGGATCTTTTAAATTCTGCATAGATTCCAGACTGGTCTTTAGGACCTTCAGTATTTTTTGTGTGGAAAAGGAATTTGCAGTTAAGCTGAAGACACAAGTCAGGCCCTCCAGTCTGAGCAGGGGCAGCACACACTGTGCCGCTTGTCCCAGACCCCTCTTCCGGGCTCACCCATCCCTGTGTCCTCTTTCTCCTTAGGCCTTTTCTCTATTTCTAAGAAATCCAATCTAAAAATGAAGGAGAATGGGCAAAGGCAGTACCTCTCGTTAAAAAGAAATTCTCAAAGACCGGTCAAGGTGTAAAATTTTCTAAAGCACGTATTAAGAGGATGAATGTTCTGTAGAGAGAGGTGAAGTAGGGAGGAGACAACTGGGTAATTATACTGGAAGGGGAGAGGAGTTAGATACTTAGGGGAAAACGTGGTCTACAATTAAAACAAGAGACAAGAAATAGGGCTTGTGGTGCCTAAAGACAAGTCACATGGATCTGTCACTTGCCCCTGTGATAGGGTTGGAGAAAGCAGGCACTGGAGGCCAAGCCTAGCCCTCCGGGTTCTCATTCCCCAGGGAGTGGTAGATATTGCTAGGGGCAAATGTGGAGGACTCAGGGTGCAGAGCCATTACTCAAGGGAGAGATCAAAGTTAAGTGAAAAGCTTCATTTTCTGGAAAAAACAGTGAAGTATTTGAGATGGAGTGCATATGTCTGACCAAAGCTGCTGGAGACACTGGGATAACAAGAATGGGGGTATTGGCTTTAGAGTCTTAGGTTCAAATCCTGGCTTCTTCTCTTCCTAGAGAACAGTGAATGGGAGAAAATATCAAAGAATAATTGTGAGAATTAGCAATATATGCAATACTCTTACTACACTGTACAGTAGGGATTAAATACATAGATAATTATTTACTTACACAATGCAGGATGCTGTAAAAATACTCATGTGACTACTGGCATGAAATACCTCAGCTTTGGCAGTGGCTGAATAGCTCTTTCGTCCATTCGGGACATTGAAGATGATATTAAAGAGAGTCTCTTCTTTATTTTATTTTTGTTTTTTAATTGGAGTCTCACTGTCGCTAAGGCTGAAATGCAGTGGCACGGTCATGTGATAATGGCTCACTGCAGCCTCAACCTCTTGGGCTCAGGTAACCCTTCCATGTCAGCATCCCAAGAATCTGGGACTACAGGTGTGTACCACCACACCTGGCTAATTTTTTTATTTTTTATTTTTGAGAAACGAGGTTTTACTATGTTGCTCAGGCTGGTCTCGAACTCTTGGGCTCAAGGAATCCTCCTGCCTCAGAGTCTCTCTTTCTTTTTTTATTATGAAAATGTCAGGTACAATTCAGGGTTAGGTATACAAATGTTGATTATGCAGGCACCCTTGTTGATGAGATATGCTCTTCCCTCCCCTAGCAGTTTCCCTCAATTGCCAAGCCCACCCCTCAGCCTCTCAAAGTGCTGAGATTACAGGTGTGAGCCACTGTGCCTCATGAGAGTTTCTTCAATGGAGCCCAATTACAAAATACAGATCTACTCTAGTGTATAAGCCATGCTCTTCATTTCCCACGGCTTTGTGGGGTCATTACTTAGGCATGTAAATGTTTACCTGTGAAATGGTAATTCAGGGAAATGTTGAGGTTCATGTGAGGCTATAACTGTTAGACCCCCAAAAAGTTACTGAGAATTTGCTGTATTTTAATATAATCTGCTGGTTTCTTTATCTGATATTTAATTTAAAAGAGTATTTAGCATTCTCTCTATCGGTTTAAAAAAAGCCCTTTTCTTTTTTTTATCAATATTTTTTATTTTGATGTAGTGGGGTACAGTTAAGGGTTAGGTATATAAATATGCTTTGTTCAGGCACCCTTGTTGATAAGGGGTGTCTCCCCGTCCCCAGACAGATATTGACTAATGTTAATCCCACCTCCCTTCCCCTCCCTCCCTGCCTCCATAGTTTCCCACCACTGTCAATCCTTTTCTTATAGTATTACGATAGATCTTCAAGGTCCACTATATGAGTGAGAACATGTGATACTCAGATCTTTGTTTCTGTGAGAGGTCACTCAGTATTATAGACTCTAGTTCCATCCAGGTTGCTGCTAAATTCATGATTTTGTTCTTTTTTATGGCTGCATAGTGTTCCATAATGTATATGTACCACATTTTTTAAATCCAGTCCTCTTTTGATGGAAAGAATGCCTGATTCCAGGTTCTTGCTATTGTGAACAATGTTGCGATAAACATACGTGTGTAGGTATCTTTTTTATAGAGTGATTTGAGTTCTTCAGGATATATTCCCAGTAGGGAGATTGTGGGGTCATATGGGAGGTCGATATTTAGAGCTTTTAGGAATTGCCACACTGTTTTCCACAGAGGTTGAACTAGTTTGCACTCCCACCAACAGTGTAGAAGTGTTCCTTTTTTGCCACACCCTCTCCAGCAACTTTATTTTTTGAGTTGTTGATAATTGCCATTCTGACTGGAGTTAGGTGGTATCTCAGTGTGGTTGTGATTTGCATCTCCCTGATGATTTGTGAGGTTGAACATTTTTTCATGTGTCTGTTGGCTGCTCGAATGTCTTCCTTTGAGAAGTGTCTGTTCATATCTTTTACCCATTTTATAATGGGGTTGTTTGTTTTTTTCTTTTCAGCATGTTTGAGTTACTTGTAGATCCTTGATGTTAGGCCTTTGTCAGACATGAAGTTGGCAAATACTTTTTCCCAATCTGTAGGCTGTCTCCCTGCTCTTGATGGTTTCTTTGGCTTTGCAGAAGCTTGTCAGTTTAATGAGGTTCCACTTGTCTATCTTATCTCATAGGGCCTGTGGGTTTCAGGTTTTGTTCAGGAATTGGATGCCAGTTCCAATTTCCATAAAGGTGTGTCCTGCATTTTCTAAGGTTCTTATGGCTTGAGGTTTTACATTTAAGTCTCTGATCCGTTTAGAGTTAATTTTTGTATATGGGGATAGATAGGGGTCGTTTCAATCTTCTGCATGTGGTCAGCCAGTTTTCCCAGCACCATTTACTGAATATGTTCTCCTCTCCCCAGCGGTGGGTGGTGGAGGCTTTGTCAAAGATAAGTTGGTTGAGAAATTGAGGTTTTGCTTCTGGAATCTCAATTTTATTCCATTGATCTATATGCCTGTTCCTGTACCAGTACCAAGCTGCTTTGAAGATTGTAGCTCTATAGTAAAGTTTGAAGTCTGGTAGTGTGATACCTCTTGCTTTGTTTTAAAAAAGCCCTTTTCAAATGAAGGCAGCCAGTAAGCAACAAAATGGATGGTTTCTATTAGGTATGATAATCAGGCATAGGCATGGGGACCACAGAACTTTAAAGCTGGGGATGACATGAGATCAAGACCAGTGTCTTCAGAACTCTTTTCATTGTATCAGATGGTCTATACAACGTGTCCCTGAAAACACACAGACATGATGAACTAGTGGTGGCATTTCACATGCCTGTACATGGGATTCTCAATTGATCAGTTAAGTAAATTATACACACATTCCCAAACATTTTCCCAGATGCAATTTGTATTTATAACAACTCAAAAGAGAAATGCGAATCTCACAGGAATCAGTATAGTTTGGAGATGGAATCGAATGCCTTAAATTTATATAAACACTTCACTCTTTTAACAGTAATGAGTACTGTTAAGGCTATGACACTAGAGTGTTTTTGCCTGAGGGAAGAAAATTGGCCTTATTGTCAGAAAGCTAATGATTATACAATATGGATTTGTTGATAAGTATACAGTTGTCATTGCCAACACAAAGTATGATGACTAAAAACTAGCATTAACAAAATGAAAGAGATTCTGAAATATACATCAGTGCCAAAGAAGTGTACCAGAGTTGCTGTGGAACCAAATGAGTGTCCTTCCTGTTCTGTGAGGTGGGCAGGGTCTGTGTTGGGTGGTGTCTGTGTGTCCATCCTTTCCCTCCTGTACTGTGGTGTGGGCAGGGTCTGTGTTGGGTGGTGTCCGTCTATCTTGTCCCATTCCTTTGAACACTTGACCCCTGTTCTGGACCTTTTTTTCCCCACAATGACCTCTGAACTTTTTATTAGTTTCCTTCTTCCTCAAAGGGCACCCTGCTCCCACTGCCTCAACGCCTCAGACACTAATTTGCTATCCACTATCTTGCGGGTGGTGGTCTTTTGGGTGATCTGGATGAAGCTGCTGCTGTCCAGGCCATCACTGAGACTGAAGTCCTCTCCATCTTCTAGCAGGCGGCAGAAGGTGGCAATCTCAGCCTCCAGCTTGACCTTGATGTTCAGCAGGGACTCGTACTCCTGGGCCTGGCACTGGCCCTCTGTCTGGGTCTGTGCCAGTTCAGACTTCAGGTGCAGCAGGGTGCCATTGAGCTGCTCCAACTGCATGGCGTAGCAGGCCTCCACCTCTCTCAGGCTGTTCTCCAAGCTGACCTTCTGGTTTTTCATGGAGTCTAGGTCAATCTCCAAGGACTGCACTGTACGTTTCAGCTCCATAGGCGTCATTTGGGCAACTCCAATCTCAGTGGACTGCGTGGTGACCACTCTGGTGCTCTCCTCAATCTGCTGAGACCAGTACTTGTCCAGCTACTTTTGGTTCTTCTGAGCCAGCTCATCATCCTGGGCCTGGACGTCCACCGTGATCTTGTTGAGGTCCTGTGATTTGGGGGCCTCTACCTCCACGGTCAACCCAGAGCTGGCAATCTGGGCTTGTAGGCCTTTTACTTCCTCCTCATGGTTCTTCTTCATGAAGAGCAGCTCCTCCTTGAGAGCCTCGATTTCTGTCTCCAGCTGCAGCCGGGTGACATTGGTGTCATCAATGACCTTGCGGATCCCATGGATGTTGCTCTCCACGGACTGGCACATGGCCAACTCTGTCTCATACTTGACTCTAAAGTCATCAGCAGCAAGACGGGCCTTGTCAATCTGCAGAACGATGTGGGCATTGTCCACAGAAGTTGCAAAGATCTAGCCCTCAGGTCCTCGATGGTCTTGAAGTCATGTCCTCAGTCTCTGACCTGAGGTCCCTTCTTCTATAGGTGTTCTCGGATTTTGCTCTCCAGCCTCTGGTCCTCGGTCTCCAGACTCCTCACCCTCTCCAGGTAGGAGCTCAGTTGGTCATTCAGCTTTTGCATGGTGTCCTTCCCGCTCTGGATGTCTCCCAGACTTCTGGCCAACTCCATGGCCACGCCCCCGGACCCCCAACCACCCCAGAAACTGGTGGAGCAGGACACAGAGATCCAGGAGTGAACCAATGACACCTGCATAGACACTGGCCACGCTGCTGGTGGACCGGAGGCAGGGTGGCGGGATGGAGCCCAGGAACCGGTAGTTGGTGGAGTAGGTGGTGGAGCGAGTGGTGAATCTCTTGGTGGCAGCGGAGGAGAGCCAGACGGTAGAACTTACGTTCAGCCTCTGTCCTGGATCAAATGACCGACCTCATCAGACAAGATGATTCAGTTCTGTCTCCCTCAGTTTTTATTTGGATTTGGTCAATGAGAGGCTCTGGTACGAGGTCAGAGGAGGGGGGAGCTAGTGAGGTATGGGGATTTCTTTTCTTGGATCCTTTCTTGTGGAGCTACAGTGGGACTCTTCTGCATCTCTCCACCTAATACCCTAGCTCCTGCAAGCCCCCTTTTCCTACAGTCATGACTCTCACTGGGCTAACTTCTACACAAACTCCTTCCTTTTGCCTTGTAGGGCGTAGGAGTGACAATGGCTCTATTTCTGTCAATCCTAGGCTTCTTCACCATCCTTTGTGGTTTCCCTTAATCCTGTACACTGTTTTGTAAAGAGTCCCTTCATTAAAATCTCTTTGGTTACCGTTTTGGATTGTGCTTGGAGTTTCCTGCCAGGACTTTGACTGACACAGGCATGCACCTAATTTGTATACACACAGCAATATACTGCCATTAAATATCTTAAAGTTTCCAGTGGCTTTGTATTTCCAGTGGCCTGTTGTATTTCCCAACTCTATTATAACAGACTCAAATATATACAGTCACTTAACCACATCCAGGAAGCAGTTATGTTTTCTCTGTCCTCTCAACCATATCAAAACTTTAAAAGTATATCTGATTTTATTTCTGTCTCCTCTCCTCTTTTGTGAAAATTTCTCTGACCATCTCTAGTTATTATTCAATCTTCAGCAACAGTTTTAACTTTCTTGAGTCATGCACACCTTTGTGAATTAGATGAAAATATAATTACCCACTCCCCAAAAGTACATAAAACATATATACAACACATTTGTTTATGATTAGAGTTTTTTCTATTTAAATGCAAATTAATTTTGATCACAGAATTTTTTTCTACTCATGGAAAAAATCATGTAAATTTAGTGATGACTTTCTGGAAATTATTGAGATAAATATATATTGTGTGAAAAAAAAATCCCAAGAATACATTTTAGCTCTTCTGATGTTAAATTTGAAAAAGAGATTAACATAGCAACATGAAAATTATCTTGGACACTCGATTGATTTTGACACTTTTTTTTGCTATCAGCTGATACTAAAAACTGTGACTCAAAGGGAGGTTGCTGTCAAAGAACATCAGAGTGCTCCAAGAGTCTCCTGGGTTTAATTTGTGTAGTATTTTTTTCTTAGCCCTACAAATCAATGAGATTACCTTTGCAAATCTGGTATTAACAATTCTTTCTATGCCAGAAAATAAGGACTTGTGAGTCCATGTTTGAGTTCTCTCTCTCTCTCTCTCTCTTTCTATATATATATATATATATATATATATATATATATATATATATGTTTTTTGTTTTTTTTTTTTTTTGTAGAAGCAGTGTCTCACTATGTTACCCAGGTTGGTCTCAGACTCCTGGCCTGTAGCTGATTCTCCCATCCTGGCCTCTCTATGTACTGGGATTATAGGTGTGAGCCACTGTGCCCAGCTATGTTAAAGTTTTAAAGTTGTCTTAACAGAAGAAATCTGCATGGGAACTCTCCAGTGTCTCCCGTTATTTTCAGATTTCTTTCTTCTGGGAACCTGAGAAGGCCTAATCTGCCGAAGCTCTTTCTCTGGTACTGCCAAGTTTGGCACTGATGTCTGCCTGCAATTTCAGCTTCCAGACAGGAGCACAGACATGGTTTTATCAATTAGGATGTTTCTGGGTATATGGGAAAGATATTTGAAAATGAAAAGCTGCAAATACAAAAGCCTGATTCAATGAAGAATAATACAGTAAAGAAGTTTATTATCTCATATGACAGAGAACCCAGAAACAACATCAGCTTTGGTCAGGCTGGTGACTCAGTGATTCAATGATGTCATTAAGGACCTAAAGTCTTCCCATATTTCTGCTTTGTTATCCCCAGTTAGACAGCTTGGAATTTAGAATAGTCTTCTTAGTATTGCAAGTTATCTTCTAGAAGAATCTGATGCAATACATATTCTTGTTCACATCCTAAAAGAGAAGCCTTTCTTCAGTTATGATTGTACCAACGTAAGCCATGCAACTTCTCTACCCAAAACAGTGTCACATGCTTCAAGTAAGTAGGGACAATTTGACAATGAAATCTGTGTTCATTCAATCATTTACATGTGAGGGTGGTGGGAGAAGAATATCCAAACAAAATCAGAATTCTATTAGGAAGGAGAGAAATGAATGTTGAGAAAGTAATGTTCCTCACTGATATTTTCAGTAGCATCTATAATAGCACCTATAGGAAGCATATAGAAAGATCTGCTTCAGCTAAAAATATCTGCTCATTAAATCAAACCATGAAATAAATCTTCACCAACTTGTTCTGGAAATAAATATTCCTTTTCTATAAAATAAGCAAAAATGTTCTCTTTAAGTTCTATTGTGTTTCAAGCATTACTTTTCAGAAATCTCATAAACTTTGGTACAGAGTAACTTCAAATTCTATAACAGTTTTTTGAACCCAAATTGTTAAAAAGGTAATGATTTTATATCCTGGCTCTGACAAGATCCAAGCATTAGACAAGTCATTTCTCTAGATGGTTGGTAGGAAGTGAGTGAGACACGTTGACATGTTAAATTATACAATGGATAGTTTCTTTCTTCGTACATATAATATCGATATTTTTCCTCATTAAAGTTTTGAACAACTAAGTATTCTTTTTTTTTTTTTTTTGAGTTGGAGTCTCACTCTGTCGCCAAGACTGAAGTGCAGTGGCCACTCCCGGCCACCGCAGCCTCGCCTGCTGGGCTCCGGTGATCCTTCCGCCTCAGCCTTCCGAGTAACTGGAATTACAGGCATGCGCTACCACGCCCGGTTGATTTTTTTGATTTATTGTAGAGATGAGGTCTTGCTGCCCAGGCGGGTCTCGAATCCATGGGCTTAGGCAATCCACTCACCTCAGCCTCCCAAGGCACGGGATTGCAGGCTGAGCCACCGAGCCCGGCACAACTGAGTATTCTTTCACATTTTACAGATGATGACGCTTGTGTAGTTTCCAAAAGCAGCTCTCCAAATAGCAATGATTTAAAGATGCCAGAAAGCAAATATGTAGACAAAATCTAAAAGTTGACTGCATTAAGCTTCTGGATGATAGTTTTATTCAGCTGTACATTGAAAGGAAGTATATGAACTAACAGTTTCACCATTACTTTCTTAGAAATGTCAGTGATTTAGGAATAAATGATTTTTTTTGCATTTTGGCAATAATGTAGGTAGGGATATTTTATCTGCTTTGGGGCAGATAATAAGTTTGAAGTCCTTTCTTGCAGGATTTGGTGGCTAAGTCAGAATCTCCTGAATGCCATTCCACTATTCTCTTTTCACATTTCTCCCTTTAGCTTTCCATCTCTGCTTTTCTCTCCTAGTCCTTCTCTGTCCATCTCTCTCCCCTCCTTGCTACCTTTGAGTTCCACTTTTTACCTTTCTTACTTTCTCATCACTTTCCCTCCTATAAGCCATAACATTGTCATTGTAGTCCTTCATTACTGTCATCATTCTTGATGCAGAAGAATCTTTCCAGCAGCAGAATATGGCAGGCAATGTTTCCCATGAAAAGTATTAATAATTTTATTTTCCTTTGCCAATTTTGAACCACAGAAGGATGAATGAGAGTAAAAGAAATCTTCATGGTAAAGAAATTGAGAAGTGTGTGTGTGAGAGAGATATTAAATAACTGATAATTTTCTCTTTTAAACAATGATTATTCTGGTGACTGGTGTGGTAGGTAGAAAAGAAGGAATCCCTTTTCCTTGGGTGTATTTCAAGTATACTAATAAATTCAGGATGTGGCCAAGGAAATTAAGGAATCAGAATGTCCCTAGACCAAAAATTATACCGCTATCTATTTTTATTTAACTCAAAAATTATTATTATTTGTAATCAGAGTAAAGGATGTCTATGCATGGGGCATCCAATGAGGAGGGTACACACATGTGGGATAGCTGAAGTGGGGTATCAGAGCCCAAACAGAGTGATGAGGGCATCCACATGGGAGTGGGTGGGCTGACATAAAATTTTCAGAGAATGAACAGGTTTAGGAAGGTATACAGACTGAGGGATAGGAGAGGGCAGCTTGGCATGGGGTTTCAGAGACTGAACAGGGTGGGGAGGATGTTCATGTGTGGTCTAGACTTGAGTGGAATAAAAACCCTTCTCTCAGCTATGATTAGACCAATGTAAGGCATGTAACTTCTCTACCTACAACAGTGCCACATGCTTTAAGTAGGGGCAATTGGCAATGAGATCTGTGTTCCCTCAATCATTTGTGTGTGAGAGTGGGAGAGAAGAATATTCAAATAAAACCAGGATTCTATTGGGAAGGAAGAAAGAGAAATGAATGTTGGGAAAGTAATGTTCCATTACTTTCAAAGTAGTTTCAAAGAAGGGAGTTTCAAAGACTACTTACATAAAGGGGAAGTGTTTAAGTAACTATGTTAAGGCTATTGGGAGCCAGGTTTCTCACTGTTAGAAATAGAAATTGCAAATATGGAAAGCAAGAAAGCTGGAATAAACTCAGTGGAGTTGGAAGATTTAAGTGTGAACCACAGTTTTCAGTATCTATAGATAGATGTCGTAATAACTATAGATGTAAATGTGATGGATTTATGTATATGTTCACATACACATAGTCTCCTGATTCCTAAGCTCTGTGCCCTGAGTGGTCTTGGGAGCTATACCACCCCAAATGCAGTAAGCACTCCTAGGACTCAGACCTTGGCTTCTATATACCATCCTTAAGGGAACCAGGAGTCCTTGTAGAAATGAATGATTCTGGATCCAAGGCAAGGAAAGTCCAAATGAACTTGGAGAACCTTATACTACAAAGCAAGGAAATGCTCAAAGAATGATGAGGATGTATTGAAGAACACAGGAGCTACTTTTTTCTGAGTCATAGGTGGATTATTTTATTTTATTTTA